ATCTTCGATAAATCAGTAAATATTGAAGCTAATTTATTCAAAATTGACACTTGCAACAATTCTTTACCAAGAAATACGTTTATGGTAAAATTTTGGAAAATGGGCATGGCACCGCCCACTTATGATCACATATATGTATATCGGTAACCGTTCTACCAATTTGTACCAAACTCGGTGTGGTTATTGTGCTTGCCACATATAAGCAAAACGTTGAAAATTATTGAAATCGGACTAAAATAACGGCCGCTTCTCATATAACGGTAAATTTCAGAAATGCTTGAAACTTCAATATTTCGAAATTGAAGGACGCTAATTTACTCAAAATTGATACACCCCGGCTTACCATCTAGCGGAAGGTTTCGGAAAGGTGAAAAAACATATTTAATACTTGCGCCGGGTATTTAATGTTCGGCTCCGCCCGAACTTAGACTTTCTTACTTGTTATATTTGTTTTTGTTTATGTTCTGGTCTTTGTATTAGTCTTTCCTTGCCCAATTGGCGTTTAACGCAGCCATTCGTTTTCTGTACCCGCCATATACTACCTTTAACGAGGTGTTAAATATTTCGTCACTAGAGACGAATAAAGGAGCGCTAGTCTTTCGACGGCGAAAAAAGGCGCATAAAAAGAATTTTACGAAAAAAGGCGCCTAATAAATACTTCGGCGAAGAAAGACACGAAAGCTAGTGGATGGCGAAGAAAGACGGCAACCCTTTTCATGGAGCTAAAGCTATCATGCACACCGAAAGGACAAGCCCCTTCATTTGACACCTCATTTTTGAAAATCGAACGAACGATACAGATTTTATGACTTGGTGTTATGTATTTAACGCAACCATCTTCGAACTCGATTAAGAATTTTCATTTCAAAAACCCTTTACGTGGTATACGCTTCTATAAATGGACTAAAAAGTAGAAAAATATATTTCTCAGTCCCATAGAAAAATATATTTGAAAATGAAAAACGTGGAGCGCATGCAATACAAACCATTATTTACGTTTAATTGACAATAAGTCTTTTATGCAAGATTTAATAATTTAATACACTTTTTTGATTGCATTTTAGTAAATTCCATACAATTTTATTTCACTCAAGCACAACTTTATAGTTAAACAGAATACTTTCCCTTCAATGTACATAAACTGTCCACATACCTGCAATAAAAGAAATATATTTATATATATAGTAACAAAGATTACGGGGCAATATAATAAAGTTATTTAGTATGTAGCATACAAACTAAACACCTTCGTAGATAAAGTACAATAAATAATGTAATGCAATTAAATCTATACTACAATATCGAGCTCTAACCGCCAAAATAACGTAAGCGACATTTTTTCCAAAAATTTCTTTTTGATGCAGAAATGCATTCTTATTTTTAAATTCGCTTACGCTATTTTGGCGATTAGGGCTTGATATTATAGAAAAAGCAGAGCCAAATTCTCGGTGTTGTCAACCCGATTGCGATTATTGAATGAAAATTTTAACAATGGAAGTATTTACATACATATCTGTGTTCATATGGAATAGTAGCTATGCCGAGAGGCTGGCTTTAGTATAATGCGGCATTCGCAGCATACAATTGCGAATGACTCACTGGCGCCGAGCCGCTGAAAAACTTTTGGCAAATAGATGTGTTTGGATACTAGCAAGACAATATTCTTATTAAGTCTCCTCAAAAAATTCCTTGTCGTTTAAAGAATAAAGGAATGCCGCACTATACTAAAGCCAGCTTCTCGACATAAGCTACTATTCCATACGAACACAGATATTTATGGAATAAGGCAGTGCGCTAAGAAATTATAACGATCTTGTGGCTGAAAAGTTTCAGAATTCGGTGTTAGGAATCCTTGCACATATTTACATCATATTGCAAGCAAAAATTTTACATTTTTAATTGTATCCTTGGGATACTTTATCTATCCTTAATTTATAATTTTATTTTTATTTTTTGCAGCCTACACAAAGTTTTCAGGATAATTGTTGACATTTTCTCTCAAAGTCGCGAAATTTCTTTTTTCTGCTATTTGACGTTGGGAGAATGTCTGCAATCCGATCAACTTTACACGTTGTGATGTTCCAAGATTTTACACTGAATTCGGATTATCAAACAATAATTACCTTCAAACCGTTTGAAATTTTCCAAAAGGTTTTGGTGGTAAGTTACAAAATGGCGTTGCAAGTAATATTTCGTCATTCGTTTAGTTAGAAATCACAAGATACACTGCGCTTTGCAGTCAAAATTTTTGCATTATTGAACGCCATGTGTTTTTTTTTATAAATTTCGCGTACACGTTCACTATATTTATTTGTATGTTAAATCAATTTTAAATACATTTTTTTTATTGGCTGTAATAATTTTATTAATTTTTCATTGTACGGCAATTCAACTAAACGCATAAATGCTTCGTAAACATGTAAACCTGGTAAACGTACTTAATTTTGTATGGAAAATCGGTTTATTTACGAGGTTTACGTAGTTACGAGACATTTACGCGTTTCCATGAATACCTATTGCATATTTGTTTGAAGTGCGTTTATATGTGAGCGCATACGAGAAGGCGATAAATTTGTCTTTTATATTTAAAGTACAAATTTGTATCTTTACCTTTATTTGAGAGAAAAACAGAAACAAATGTGCTACAAGTGCTTATGGAGTGAGCAGCTCTTATTTACACAAAGTTTTACCATATTGGTTATCTTACGTTTATACATCAAATTATTTTCAAAGCATTCAACAAAAGGCTAGCCATATAGAGCCAAGTATTAATAGGTATACATTTTTCCTTACATGGCACTATATGTAGAACAAGTTCATAGTGTTGATCCATTTGTGAAATAAGCCTGCGAAAGAAAGCAATACTTACTGATCCGGCGTATTTTTGAGCATCTCTCAAGCCTTTGATTAAGTCTGGCATGACTGGTTTATATTCAAATTTAAGGTTTCACTCCCAGCGAATATGCCTGCAATTTTGAAAACCTTTTGCTGGGAAAAAACTCCAGAATCAGACAGAATACCTTTAGAACGCAAAGTCGCCTTATATATGCATGTAAGTATATATGTATATTTAAGGATAATTTTTTCAAAGGAAATTATTGTAGATACTTTATTTTTCCTGGAAAAAAGCAAAGAAGAATTGTTTTACATCTGGATATATTGGGTAGGTTCAGAAGGTGCAGAAGTTGAGCGCAACCGTTGCTAAAAAAATCAATGATCGTAATGCGTCGACTTGATACATTAGCTGTCAAATTCAAAGCACACAACACGTTGTCTCAAATGATCAGAAAGATATTACGATCATATAACACGCAACTGTTCAGTTGATCAGAAGTACAAAACAACGCGTTCAGAAGGTGCAATTGCAACAGTTACTGAGCTGATGCGCCTTCTGAACGTGCCCATTCTCTTTCGTTTGATATTCATATTGATATTATGGAGTCAGTATAAATATTTAAAACCATGGGAAATGAAATCTTTTAACAATGTAAATTGATGAGAGCATGAAAAACTGATAGCCTTATTCACAAAAGATCAGATAGCTTTACAAAAATTTTATAAATTGGAATATGTACGAAAATACTAAAGCTTTTTAAACCAGCTAATTTTTTATGAATAAGCCCTGCAAACCATTTTTGACGTAGAATTCGCCTTACGTTACGGCTATGCTCAAATGTTGTAGTTATAATTTTTAGAGCTTCACGAAAAGTATGCCGTTTCAAAGACAAAATTCCAAGCCTACCGACAGATAAATTTACGTAAGTAACCGAATCGGTGTCTGTCGTAAAAACAACGGTAAATGTTGGCTTATTTTGGGGTCAATTTTGAGCCTTTAGGGTGCTCAAGCAACTTATGGTTGACAGATATTACTTTCATTTTCGGGACGTAGGTTCTTTGGAGGAGTAGAAATATTATCGTGTACAAATTTTATATAAATTCAACAAATACCGAGCATTTAAAGGCAAAAAATTGTTGAAAAAATTTGCAAATTTTTTTTAATACCAAAATGCTCGAAAACCGCTTGAATGATTTTGTTTTCTTTAATCAAAAATTCAGGTATTTTTCTTTCGTTTGGGAAGTATTGGTTGGTATCTTCTAAGTATGTTTATTTTATTCAAATATACGGCAATAAACGCTTTTCCATACATCCATCCATTTTTCGATTTGCAAACACGTGCATGTGTAAAAACAGTAAAGGGCTTGGCCTGTAGATAGCTTTATATTTTTTCAAAAAAGTTACCACCTGGTAAAAAAATTTTATTCAAATTATTTTTAAGTTAAATCAATTATTACACCATGAGTATCGATCTAAATGGTTTTGAAAAGGCTTTATTTCATAATTACACATATGTAGGAGGGTTGCCACCTGTTTCAAAAAGCAAGTTCGACTTAAATAAAGGCAGAAAATTTAAATGTATATCCTGATAAGGATGTCAGACGAAGGAGGTTGTGGTTTGGAAATATTTTAATATTTTGAATGGGGTTGCCACCTGTTTCAAAATTAGGATTTAAATAAAGTAAGCACCAGTTAAATGAAATATTAAAATATTACGTGAAACGGAGGTGGTAAGATATTTAAGCGTAGCTTTAAGCGTAGTTTAAATATTTAGATTATTAATGATGGTTGCCACCTGGTAACAACGTAAACTCGAATTATTTAATAAGTTAAAGCAATTATTAAAACAATGGGTATCAAAAGAAATGGGTTTAAAAAGGCTTTATTTCTAAACTGTATTTAGGAGCGTTGTCACGTATTTAAAAAATCAAATTTAACTTAATTCATCAGGCACATGAAATATTTATGTAGGTAGTACAATATCAGACGCTAGAGATTTCTTTACTTCTTAACTATATTTAGGAGAGTTGGCAGCTGTTTCAGATGTCTTAGCTAACTTATGCACAAATCCAAAGACGAAGATAATGCGAAGACGAGCATGAACTCGAAGAAGAATACTAAT